CTATTTCTGAAATTTAGTGGAATATTTTAAGTCAAGGCAATCTGAATACAATCCTCCAGAGTATTTCTCAGTCTCTACTATGGTTTGGAAGATTTTGGTAATCGTAGTTCTACTTTTAGACTAAGCAAATATAACAGGGTTCCTGCAGACTTAACAAAAATAAATTCCATGACTTTTCCAAACCTTTTCCAGGGCCATTTCATAAAACTCAAGGACCGCGCTATCTTGCATTGTCAAGTGAATGAACATAAAGAATAACATCTTTCAATTTAAAATAAGAAATAAGTTAACAACAAATATATTTAATATGTACTTTTTAAATTTACATGGGCTAGCACACTTTGACTTTATGTAGTAATTCATGTCATAATCTAATGATCAATGTAATTTGTATTGAAAAGAAAAAAGGAAACAATTCTTAGTAGTCTTTGTATGTGTTCCTATTTGCAATATTAACAAAATACATTACTTTCCAGTTGCTTTCTTTTATTTAGTGAACTACACCTGAAATCATGTGATACTTCCATTAGGAGAAATTACTCTTATTATATGATTGTAATTTTTTCATTTTATTTAATCGGTTCTCGGTGCTCTATAAAATTTAAAGTAATCAATATCTTTAACTCCATTGTCACAAATTCCATGACTTTTCCAAAACTTTTCAAGGTTTTGACAAATTCCATAACTTTACAAGACCCTTGAAATTTATTTTTTAAATTCCAAAATTTTTTCCAGGATTCCATGACCTGCAGGAACCCTGATATAACTTAATCTACTGCGATAAGTTCAGTCTCCGTCATATTCTGGAACAATTTCGTATGTTTAGCGTTACTTTTAGTCACAGTCACTTGAATATTAATGTTCCCGATTTTTCTTAATTTCCACTATAGTATTGGACAATGTCGCAATTTTAGTATTAATTTTAGTCTAAACCAATGTAAATTAATGTTCAGGGACATGTTTAGTCTCGGTTAAGTTCTGGGACAATTTCGTCATTTTAGCGTTACTTTTAGTCACATCCATTTTAGTGTTAGTCTTTTCCTTGATTAAAACTATTTATAGCATCATTATAAATATGCAAATTTATGAACACCATCAACATATTTCAAGTCTATGTAATGCTTTATATATAACTCTAGGTTTTATAGTAATATATCTCGGTTTCTATGTCTATTTTATAGGTCTCTCCCTAGAGTCGTAGTGCTAGCTGCGCGTATTTAGGACAACTAGGTCAGCTCCTTGCAACACTGTTACCAAGTGTTCAGTACTGTGATGTCATGTCACCTGGGACCATTCCTCTTGACGCTAAACAGACCCAGGGTGTGCTAATACAAAATTCCCCTTGTCGTTTTTAAGGCACGGCTGTGCCATTTATCGCCAAAGTACCGCGGGCCATATTTTAATGATAATTCCCATTGTCGCTATAGTACCCCCCTTCACTACTTATGCACCACGTGTTTGTTATGCAGGGCACATGTTACTCACATGATTTGGTCATCAATGAATCTGAAAAGAAAAAGTAAAGTCTCCGCTATATTTTGGAAAAGAAAAATTAATTTTAGTAATTACAGCTGCAAGTAATGCGAAAATGACAATCAATGGCTTTGTTTTAAAATCAAGTGGTTTTGCGGTCGGAAAGAGTATATATGAACAATACAAATAATAATTGGATATGTATGAAATTAACAAACTATATACTCAAACTGGATAATTATGAAATAGCCAATTAATATACTCATTTACACTTCAGAATTATGAAACGAACAGGCAATATACGAACATACACTTTATAATTATGGAATTGACAAAAATATACTCACAAAAACAGAGTAATGATGAAACTGACAAACGATATACTCACCCAAACAGGATAATTATGTAACTGACAATCAATATACTCACTCAAACTGCAAACACTTCATTCTGTAAAGAATAAGTTAGCAGAGATTTTTGAAGGAACGAAATATTGCCTCTATATAAAGTATAACTAATTTATTAATCAAGTCGACAATTTGTAAATTAATTCAAATATGAAAAGGTTAATTACTTCGTACATTTTGAATCTTCTTCATTTCCTGGATTACACCAAAATATGCATTGTGGGGTTTCATTAGTAGCAGGCTTTGAATTAAGATCTTTTTGCTGTAGCTTTAACCATTTTTCACTCATATCGCTACGATGTCTGCAGTGCGGTAGTTTATAGTAATGTCAAGCACTGGGGCATCATGTCGTTGACATGTAACATAATGCCCCACCCGATCACAATTTCCTGACACCAAGTCAACCAGTACTAACTCTAACTTCTTAATGCTGAACGCCTAGCAATGCAGCTGCTAGTACCATTTTTATAAGTCTTTGTTATGACTCAGCCGGGGTTGCGAACCCGCGACCTTCCTCATCCGAGTCGGATGGTCTAACCACTAGGCCACAGTAGTCGGGGCTTTGGTCTATCATGAGTGAGAATCAAATGTAGGAAATAGGTGATATGAGTAGCTGGACTTGTTCTGACTAAACATTTTGCTTAAAGTTATGCCACTATGTAAGCATGGTAATGGAAGAGAACTCAGCAGCAACGTAAATTTTTTTTTACTGCATATGCACAAAATGAAATTTTTAGGAAGGCAATAAATTGCCACTTATTAGGCTTCAAATTGAAGAGTAACTCAAGTTTCATTTTGGTTCTTGTACATAGCTCAGTTTATACTAACATATATAACTTGTTGCATTATATGACCAGGTTGCACTTATACAAATATATCATTTTAGTATGTCATTCATTCATTCATTGCTACATCAATGGTGAAGTAAAATGTGTGGTTATATATATATATATATATATATATATATATATATATATATATATATATATATATATATATATATATATATATATATATATATATATCAGAGGTCTCTCTATGATTTCAAAACTAGGAGTCCAGGACTCTTAATTCCGTAAAAATTTGAGTCCCACCAGCAAAAGTTGCAGTCCCACCAGCAAAAGTTGCAGTAACCACTAAACCTGAAATCACGTACTTTCTTACACTTGGCTACGGCCGCATCCGAACTATCAATTATAACAACATTAGCACAGTTCTTACTCTCATTTAAATCTTCATCATTTTTCCATTTAACTACAAAACATTTGTCAAAATTTGAAAACAGCATGTTGTCTAAGTCCCTTGATTTTGAGTTCGCAGGCAATATTTAAACGGGAACAACATGAAACGAAATCAATAACAGTGATCGCGCTGGGCTTCGCCAATGTCACAAATTGCACTTATGTTTTACATATTAGGGACCAAATATACCATCTGACGATATGATTGGCTACAACATTATCGGCTGATAAAAACGGTATATAGTGTTGAGTTTGGAGTGGAGAAATTCCAAGGCACCATAACAGGAAGCCGCAAACTTGGATATAAAAATGTACTGGAATCGTTTGTACATAAACAAATCCTTATTTCATATTGACAAACCACTCTAACAGTTAAGTGCTGTGTCATAATCCACTTACACAAATATCTGGCCTTGATACTGTATACTATAATATAATCAAAATAACCATGCAACTGACGAGCTACAATCGACCACCTCTGAGGACGGACGCGTGAAATGACTACAGTCGACCACACGAAAGCAATTTGAAAAAAAAACCAAAAGAAAATACCCAGAAAAAATAGTTTTGCTGCAACTTCAATGAAAACTTATTACCTCTGAAGAACCGATATATAATAAGGAATTTTGTTTTAAAAAATTTTGACAATGTTTTACAATTCATTGATGTTGTTGCACCAGTAAGAAATGGGTGTTTGTTTTGTCCTTCAAAAGCCTTTAGCGGCGCCTTCAATAACACATGTACCTTCATCAAAGCATGCCTGCGACCTCTGATCAAAGAAGTCAGCAACAAACTAAAATAAAAGCATTGCATCAGTTTTCATTCTGATTCGAACATATTTATTTTGCTGCAAACGTTTCCTCATTGTAACAAAAACATGCGTACGGAGGACTCCTGTGTGGGTGACTTTTTGCGTTCCAACTCAAACTTTTGCGTCCAAATAGGCGTAATTAAGCGTTTCCCAGCTCTGTGTATATATATATATATATATATATATATATATATATATATATATATATATATAGCATATGTGTGTATGTATATATATATATATATATATATATATATATATATATATATATATATATATTTATTTGTGTGTTTTTATATATATATATATATATATATATATATATATATATATATATATATATATATATATAAGGTCTTCAAGTCAACGATCGGCGAGTAACCATAGAAAAGATCTTCAACAGATTGTATGTCTATTTACTCTGTATTAAGATATTTCTAATTTTCATTTTAAATCAGTTCATTATTGCAAACAATCGATATATTGACGTCGTGTTGACTCCAGGTTGTGCAGGAGGTGTTACACTGACATCGCGGAAATAAAGGAAAAAGCGTTTATGCAATGACATATTTGTCCTAATGTTACGCCCACAAGGGTTTGTTATGTCAAGTATAACGATATCATCATAAGAATAATGGCGTAAAACCACAAGATAAGTACAATAATAAGAAGTAAAACTAAGGGCATCGCTTATTTGATAGTGAGTGGCGGGGTGGGAGGAGAGGACAGTGTATCGATAACAATGATATAGAATCCACTCTATATACAAGCGTGGTTTAAATGTTAACGTACAGAAGTAAATAAAATCACTTCTGTTCCCAGAAGAATCTGGACAAAAATATGTCTCCTAACTGACTGACCTTAATCCAACCACAACATCTTGACACACACACACACACACACACACATACATATATATATATATATATATATATATATATATATATATATATATATATATATATATATATATATATATATATGGGATGAAACTCTGACTCAAAAAGAATGTGTTTACGTCTTTTGTACAGTCTATTGTTTCCAATCAAATACTGCAAATATGTGGTCACAAATGCACTACAGATAAGGTGGGAATTTTTGCATTCGTTAATCCTATTTCATACGAAAATTGCGACAATGTAATGTCTAGTTCTGAAAGTGACATTTTTGGGTAAACATGTACTCTAAGACTACTGAGTACTGTATGAAACAATGTGGCATCACATTGCATTGATAATTCTGTTTTCAAAAATGATTTTGTCGCTATAAAATGTGCACCGTCTGTCAGAATGAACGAAATTATTCGTTATATTTTCTAGCTATATAATTAATACTGAAATGAAAACTTTCATAAAAAGAATCTCAAATGGGCAATGATTTAATATTAAATTTATGTAACTAAGCTGGGCATTATTCAACTCATTTCTAGTGTATACTTGAACAAATGACATACTTACTTATCAACCGTGACTCTGAAAATACAGTTCATCTTAAGTTATCACATGGTATATTGAATAGGAAATAAGTAAAGCATATGGATTAAATCAAGAATTTAATTATTTAAATTTTAATCTTTATGCATACCTCATTTACCTCAAACCTCAGTCAGTGTAATTTTTCAAATAAAGACACTGGCTCACTCATGCACACATGATAATAGTGACTACACCAATTGAAATGAACTGTTATATATGTATAATGTATGAATGCAAAATATGCGTCTGAAAATGATCTTCTGTGGTGTTGCAATAGCGATAGCTGCATTATGGATGCTATAATGTGAATTTTACAATTTTAAGAATCCATTTTATTTAATAAAGAAATTTACGTATATAAACCAATTTGGCATGTAATTTTTATCAATCAGGATTTGGATGGTCTTCAGCTGTAAACAATTACCATAGCTTTTAAATATTTTTAAAGTATGGACATCACCAAATGAAATGTTATAGCACAACGAAATTATAAAATACTCACAATGATTTGTATATTTCATTGCTGCAACATAAATAATAATCAAAAATGTAACGCTTGATGTATGCAAAACAACATAAAGAATGAGGAAACGTAAATTAGTTTGTAATATCACACAAGTTTATCCCAAATAATTGCATTTTTATATAATAAACAAGAACAGCAAATGATGCTCTCTATTTCATATATATCTTTTTAATCGTACTTTAATTTAAATGAACCAGTAAGATGGCTGGTCTAAGATGGCGATATCGCTTAACCGGCTTGAAGCAGCTGTTCCGTTTTTCGGGCTGCTTTTCATGATATATGTGCTTCATGTCTGTCTTGGTCTACTTTTTGTGTTCGTCGTGCATTGGCTGTTCTGTTCGTATGTGTTTCTTCATCTCCTTGTTTTGGAAACGACTACATATAGATTTTATTCAGCTGTCGTGATCCACTGTTACAACATCCTTTGTTGTTAAACAAACCGCCACCATGATACTCGCCATCACTGTGGTCATCACGATACGTAATTGTGCTATGATAGACCCTCAATAATTGCTTTAAATTACCACTCTTTGGCTCTAAACTACAATGTGCACTAAACTAAACGACCAGTGACTACATTACTTAAATGCAAAACGAAAGCAAAAAAAAAAGTAAAAAATAGACGTTTCAAATCTGGCCGGCTTAGAACAGGAAGAAGTATTCCAGTTCTCTTCCTTTCGCCCTTTCCGAATCAGCCATTTAAAACTTCAACCGTTTATTTAGATAACCTAATTTAAATCCCAATTAAGTTGCCAACTTTAGTGTCAACTATCCAAGACATGCCACTGCGTATCACATTATTAAATGCCCAATCAGTAGGACCACCGGAAAAGCACACAGAAATATTTAACTTAATCAACGATCAGAATATTGTCGTCTTTCTCCTGACAGAAACATGGCTAAAAACATCAGCCGATAAACCCCAGTACGCGGATCTAATACCCACCGGTTACTCTATCAAGGAGTTTCCTGGCCGCTCTAGCAGAGGTGGAATTGCTGTCATCACAAAGAACTCCATGATCAACCATCTTAACCACACCACAACCTTTAATTTCTACCGCACATCGTTTGAACTAGTCCAAATCACACTCACACTGGAAGAAAGGTTAGTCCATTTATCTGCCTCTACCACACTCCTATTAGTAGAAAAAAACAAGCTGACTTAATCTCTCTTTTTGGAGCAGTTTCTGAATTTTCTGTGGTATGGAAATTCGATAGGTGGTATTCTGATTATTCTTGGAGATTGCAAAGTTCACTTTGACTGTCCTAGAAACCCACACACATCAAAACTCCTAGATTCGATTCATGTTTTCAACGTCAAACAGTCAGTTAACCAACCCATCCATAAACATGGTAACATTTTAGACTGGATTTTTCATAGACCTGATGATAATATTATATGGTCTTCCCTGGTAGCCCACGAATTTGCATCAGATCACCTTTGCATTATATGCCACCCTCAACTCTCCAGCTTTATTTGCTACTAAAGGAAACCTACGTATG